TATAAGATACATAAAAATTAAATATATAAATCATAAATATTTTTTAACTTAAAACCATAAACAAATAAAACAACACATTTTGCAGCAATTCAGCCCAAAACTGATGTTTTTGATGGATCAACAATAAACTATATAGAATACTTTTCTATAATTTATTATCAGATTATCTATATCTATTYTGTGAATTACTGTGCTGACTGTCAAAAACAATCGATAAGAAGTAAGAACTATTCTAATCTGATAACAATTCACAATAATACCACAGAATAGATGATAAAACCTACGCTAACGATATTATTATTTATTTATGAAGAAAATTGTTAAATAGGTACAATTTGTTTTTTAAAAATGATGAAAAACTTGAAAATCGTGGCTTCACAAAATTTATTGTTGCCCAACCGTTTAATAAAACCAACAAAGAAACAAAGCAAGATAGAAGAAAACGATTGGTGAGTTATGGAAATGAACGTTTATGCATAATATATATTCTATCTAAATAATAGAGCCACATTAAAATAAGTTTATGTAATTCAAAAAAGCTAACTCTGCTTAAACTATTGTTAATAGATTTTTTTAAGTTTTTGAAACTCTTATCATTACTTTTATTTCACTTTCAATATTAATATATATGTATGGTTAGTCTTATACCTAAAATGCCTTAAACTATATTAGAATTTATAATAAACTAAATATTGAATACTTATATGATCGTAAATTATTTGAATAGGTGCCTTTTTTTTTTGGGTAATTGATAATGTTGCCTGAATTGTTTGCGCATTATGTTGACAGCGTCGCCATCGTTTATTACATAAAATAAAATATTCGCATTCCTGAACACATTGACCCTCGCTGAGTAGTCCAGCTGCAAGTCATCAAAGGTAGGGCCGCAAAGAATGGCTGGCATGTCCACCACTGCTGGGGGTGCCTTAGGCGTGCACCAAGATCCTCCCTTAAACCGTTCCAATACTGGCACTCTAAGACAGTGTGGTTAACAGTATCTACATCACTGTTGCAGTGAATTGAATAGGTGCCTAGATCATGATATTATTGCTCTTATACAACACAATAATAAAAAAATAGTTGTATTCATTATTATTGACATATTTCATTAAATACTTGAATTTCACAATCAATTATTCTCTCGAGTTTAGAATATTCAAATTTATATTTATTACCCAAATTTATTATGTTTAAAATATTTTTCAGAAGAAAAAACTTCCAAAAATTACCAATTTTAATATAGGCACATATTATGGTTATAGACAATAGTTAATACTCAACTTAAATTAATCTCTATTTATTACATACATGTAGTTCATATACATTAAATAGTGAAAGAGAAAGTATCTTTTCAAAATGTAATGTCATTAATTATTATAAAATGGTAAGGTATTGAAGGTTTTRGATTTCATATTACTTTTTGTGGCCCTGCTTTATTGTACTTRTGTATTTCAATTATAAGTTATAGTAAGTAAACTGTTCTTTTATGAGCACTTGGTTGTTGTAAAGCATATCAAAATTGTTTTTTTGTATTATAAAGTATATTATCTTAGCACCTATCTTTTTTTTTCCTGTTCAAAAACCAGGAACGTGTGGGAACTGTTTATCACAGTACTGCCACCCGTTCTTATATMATTTATTCACCAAAATTGTTAAACCAAAGTGGGGGCCTCTAACCACCCAGAATAGCTGGCCTTCACAAATATATAATACCAATTAAATGAGTTGAGACTTTTTAGGTATAAAGAAACTGCTAAAAAGGTTATCAAAAATACATCATAGTATAAATGTATAGCTAAAATTTGTAAATAAATAATAGTTTTTTAAATTTTAATATTTTTTTCCAGGTTATTAGTTGCTACAAATTGGTATTTTTGGATTTATACATGGACATTAATGGTAGTTGCAATTATTGGTTTAGGCGCSACAATTATGCTAATGGTTGTCTTACGATTCACTACTAGAATGGAGAGTATAGAGTTTTTAACTGACAGTGATCTGACTAAACTTATGGGCAATATAGATTTAGATGATATATATAAAGTTGATGGCATTATGGAAGGGTTTAAAGACATACCATTAGAAATTATGAGTGAAAATGACAATATACTTGTACATGTTGTCAACCCAGAAGAYAAAAGTAAGTTGTCCAAATCTGGAAGAGATCATAAGGTACAGTTAAGTTGTGAATTAAAATTTATTATTTTCCTCTAGGTTTGGAATCAGCAATCGAACTT